GATGGGGTTCTTGTTATTACTTGGACGCCTCCTACTCCTTCTCCCTCCTCCTCTTTCCTCCTCCCCTCCTGTCGGACTTACTCATACTCAGACTTGCTCATACTCAGACTTACTCATACACAGACTTACTCATACTCAGACTCACTCATACTCAGACCTACTCATACTGAGACTTACTCACACTCAGACATACTCATACACTGACTTTATCATACACAGACTTACTCACACCCAGTTTGCTTGTTTCTGGGCTCAACATCCTTCGCTTGGAGAGCAGATTGTGAGGATGTCTCAGGCGGGGCGCTGGTTTCAGCACCCCTAAGGGGAGCCGCCAGGGGTGTTTGCACGGGCCCGTTCGCGGCCATTTTGTGGGGATGTCTCAGGCGGTTTGCTTGTTTCTGGGCCCAACATCCTTCGCTTTCAGAGCAGATTTGGAGGATGTCTCGAGCGAGGCGCTCATTTTCACCCCCCAGGTGGGCCAGATTTCGAGGATGTCTCGATCGGTTTGCTTGTTTTGGTGGCCAGGCTCGTGGCCCTAAGGGGAGCCGCCAGGGGTGTTTGCACGGGCTCGTTCGCGGCCATTTTGTGGGGATGTCTCAGGCGGTTTGCTTGTTTCCGGGCCCAACATCCTTCGCTTGGAGAGCAGATTTGGAGGATGTCTCGAGCGAGGCGCTCATTTCCCCCCCCCAGGTGGGCCAGATTTCGACGACCCGAAATCCTTCACATCAGTAATTTTGGGTCTCGGAGCCCACAGGGCGGTTTTTCATGTTTTCCATTCGACGTCCCATGAAGCCCGATGTCATTCCGAGGCGCGCGTCGAACGTTTTCGATGGCGCGTCGCGTTATGCGACGTCACGTGCGTTGTGGTCGTCAAAGGCTTGCGTGCTTATTGCGGATCGGTTGATGTGGGCTGGGGTTTCTCGGGATTGTACATTTGCTTTGCGCTGGGGCGGTTTGGCCCCCCATCCCTGGCTGATCCACCCCGCGGGTAACGTCGCAGGAAGAGTTCGAACATTTGGTTCGTAGTGCCAGCGATGCTGTCGCGGACATTGACCGCGCCACGGGGGGGGGGTCGTCCAGAAATTTCCTACCATATTGCAGTGTTGGTTCTTCGTTTTGAAGATACACCGCCCCGCGTCATTCCTTCCGGCCCCCTCCCTCGTCCTCCCTCTTCGCGTATCTGCCCCTGCTCTCCGCGTGTCCCCGTCGTCATCGTCCATCGTCATCGTCGCCATCACCATCATCATCAGCATCATCAGCATTATTGTCGTCTCCATCATCAATACCACCACCATCCTCATCAACATCATCAAAACACCCCCCATTGTTCCCCCGCGTCTCTGCTTCGCCACATCCCCCTGCAAGTCTCGTGGCCTTGTGAGGTGTTCCACCGAAGGCCCCATCGGCAGGGGTCTTAGTGCGCCGCCCAGCCCATGTCGGCACGCCCCTCAGACGCTTCGTGTCCCCATGAGGAGTGCATCGGAGGTCCCGGCGGCAAGGTCCACATGCCGTCGCCCAGGCCACATTGACACACCCTCAGACATTTCGTGCCCCCATAGGCAGCTCCACCAACAAAAAGGTCCCAGCGGCAGGTTTCCCAGGCCGCCGCCCAGCATATTTCGGCATACGTTTCGCACGTTCCGTGGCCCCACGGGGAGCTGCACCGACGGCCCCACAGGCAGGGCCCACAGGCCGCCGCCCAGCCCATTCCGTCATACGCTCACACGCTTCGTGGCCCCATTGGGGAGCACCCCCGATGGCCCAAGCGACAGGGTCCACATGCCGTCGCCCAGCCCATGTCGTCCACGAGTGGCGCCCAGCACGGCTCCAAAAGCGCCCCAAGAGGCGCCGAGTAAGTTGCACCCTCATGCAAATAGTTTTTGTCACTTGTGGGGGTCCTCTTGGGGCCCTCTTGGAGCATTCTTGGGGCCCTCTGGGAGCGTTCTTGGGGCCTTCCCGGGGCCCCAGTGGGCCCCCGGAGGGCCCCGAGAACGTTCCCCGAGGGCCCCAAGAGGGACCCCCCAAAGTGGTACAAAGAATTCGTGCGAACGTGCAATATGTTGTAGGCCTTTCGGGGCCCTCTGGGAGCTCTCTTGGGGCCCCCATTGGTGGCGCCTTGGGGCCTTGGGATGGCTCCAAGAGGCTTCGGGATTGCCCCTGACCGCCACAAGACAGCTCCGAGACGGCCGTCGAGCACCACGGGTGAAAGCAAGTGAGGCTAGGGAACAGGGCCTCTGGTAAGCCGCCACTGCGCCCCCTGGACTACCCAGACAGCGAGGGGACCTGAAACGCCCTGGGGCTCCAGGGGCCCCAGATTAGTGAAGTGAAGGTTTTTGCCATGCAAGCACCCCGAAATTCTTCACTTCACTAAACCGGACCCAGGACGAACTCGCTACGCTCCAGTCCCGCGGGAGATCCGAGACTCCCGCCGCCGCCCGGGGACGTTGCTGCATTGCGGTGCTCTGGTCACTGTTAATGGCTTCCGCGGGCTGCAGCGGCTCACTTCCATGACTACCCCGACTCACGAATCCAGTGGTTGGTCTGGCTCTATGGGTTGGTTTCGTTGTGTCGGTTGATTTTATGTTTGGTTGGCGGTCGGTGGATTTCGCGTTGTTCATTGGTGTCGTGAAGTGATTTGTCGTTTGGTTGGTCAGTGCCGTTTTGTTGATTTGTGCCGTTTTGTTGGTTGGTGTCGTTTCGTTGGTTGGTGTCGTTTTGTTGCTTGGTGTCGTTTTGTTGCTTGGTGTCCTTTTGTTGGTCGGTGTCGATTTGTTGGTTTGTTGGTTGGTGTCGTTTTGTTGGTTGGTGTCGTTTTGTTGCTTGGCGTCGTCCTGGCGGCGTGGCCGATAATCGTCGGCCTGCAATGGCGCCAGGATTTGTTTCGGGCCAGCCTTGATCGCCCTCATCATTCTCATATTCGTCAGCGTCAGCACTCGTCGCCCCCATCCGCGCACACATGCGGCCCTGGTACGGCTCTCACGCGGCCCTGCGAAGGCCTTCACTGTGCTCCCCAAAGCTTTCTGAGGGGCCCCCCAGAGGCCCCAAGAGGGCACTGGAAATTGTCGCTTCCAACTCCGCCAGGCGGAGGTCAACAAGGGTCTCACTGGTGCACTTCCAGGAATCGTTGTTCGATCCTCTTGGGGCCCTCCTGGGGCCTTCTGGAGCCGTCTTGGAAGCTCCGAGCGGCTCCATGAAGGCGCCGGTCGATATCGCTTCCAATTCCGCCAGGTGGAGTTAGACCAGGGGCTCACTGAGGCCCCTTTTTGCGCCCTCCTCTGCCTTTGAAAAAGCCCCGATGGGGTTCTTCAGTGCCGTCTTAGGGCCCCTAAGAGGCCTCCAGTAGGGTATTGAAGTTATCGCTTCCAACTCCGCCACGCGGAGTTGAACCCAGGGCGGCTCTCTGTGGCCCTTTCGGGGCCTTCTTAGAGCTTTTCTGAGGCCCTAAGTGGGCCCTGGGAGGTGTCATTTTCACGGGAGTTGAAAGTGACACCGCGGAGGGCCCTCTTGGGCCCTTCTTGGGGCCTCTCTTGGGTCCCTCTGGGGGCCCTCTTGGTGCCGCCCTGGGGCCTTCTCGGGGCCTTCTTGGAGCCTTTCTGGTGCTCTTTAAGTGGGCCCTGGGAGGTGTCACTTTCACGGGCGCTGAAAGTGACACATCGAAGGGCCCGCTTTCCCTCGTAGCGCTGCCCGTGGCCGGGGCATTGTGCAGCGCATCCCTCGTCGAACGCATTTTGTCGGACGCGTGGTCGAATTCCGCCAGTTCGGTCGAGATGGTGGTCAAGCGGTTCGGTTGCAATGTAGCCATGCGGATCTGAGCTTACCATTTCTTGCCATTTTGGCGGGGGCTCGCAGGAGCGTTTGCGTTGTGATCAACTGTGCTCGATATATCCAGCGGCAGGGTTTCATCCCGATATATTATTTGGAAAAAGTCAGCAGGGGCCAAATTGGTGATGTGAAGCAACATAGGTCTCGTACAGATTTTGAGGATGTCTCGATCGGTTTGCTTGTTTTGGTGGCTAGGCTCGTGGGCGCAGATTCTTCTCAGGATGCCACAGGAGGCTCCAACAGGCTCCAGGAGGCCCCAGGAGACCACATGAGGTCCCAGGAGGCATCAGGAGGCCACAGAAAGACTCAAGAGGCCACATGATGTCCCAAGAGGCTCCAGGAGGCCCCAGGAAACTCCAGAAGGCCTCAGGAAACCACAGGAGGCCCCAGGAGGCAACAGGAAGCGCCAGGAGGCCTCGGAAGGCAACAGGAGGCCCCGAGAGGCCCCAGGAGCAGGAGGCCTCAGAAGGCAACAGGAGTGGCTCCAATCCCATGTGTTTTACGTATGCTCCTATCGATTGGGCCTCACCTGGAGCACGATTCTTTGATGTTCTACGTATGTTTCTATAGATGGTCCTTCTCCTGTGTACTCAATCCTAAATGTTTTACTCATGTTCCTATGTATTGGGCCTCTCCTGGGGCACGAGTCCTTGGTGTTTTACGCGTGTTCCTATATATTGCCCTTCTCCTGTGGCTCTAATCCGCAATGTTTTATGTACGTCTGTTGCTATAGATTGCGCCTCTCCTGGGGCACGAAACCTTCCTAGGAGGTCCCAGGAGGTCCCAAGAGGCTCCTGGAGACCCCAGGAAGCCCCAGTAGGTTTCAGGAGGCCCCAGGAGGCCCCAGGCTCATGCACAGAGACGCGCTCGTACTACTGAGGCTCATTCACACTCAAATTCATTCGCAGTTAGATTGATGTCCAGACCGTCACAACTGAAGCCCGTTAATATTCGAAAGCTCTTGCGCCTAGACATTCACGGCGGACAGGTCCATGCGAGTAGATGCACATATGGGGAGCTCCACGCAGTGAATAATTTGTTTACTATTTCAGGGCATTTTTAGAGGTTTCCGAATTTTTCACCCAGGATCCGCCCGTAGCGTGCCCGAACTAACGATAGCGTCCAGAGCACCCCTGGTGAGGCCCAGGGGGCCCCAGGGCACAACACAGCGCGAACAGCTGGGGATACCTTGGGCCAGGGGCAGCTCTGGCATGGCAACACCCGACGGGACCGGGACGGGGTACCCTGTCAAGGGTATTTTCTGGCAGCGCGCAGGGAGGTGACAGGACCGCGCCGCCTTCAAGCGGGATTGCGCAGGGAAGTGGCAGGAAGGCTTTCGGGTCAACGTCCCAGCACTGGGCACCTAGCTGGATGGCGCTGACAGGAGCTGGTGGCGGCCGCGTGCCGGCTGCGGCCGCGAGTAGGCGAGCCTGTGCCCGAGGGCAGCGCTGCCGCCGCGCATGCCGCTCTGAGTGACTGCGCTGCCGCGCTGGAGCGCGCAAGGGCGATCTGGCTCGCCAGGCTCCCCGGCCAAGGCCAGCCCACCGTGTCTCCGCCGGTGGCGCTGGAGGCAGCTTGCGACATAGCGGTTGGTTTGGGTGTGCAGGACGATCTTCTCTTGGAGTGGATCGCCGCCGAGGTCGTGCAGCGGATCGCGCGCTTCGACGTCAAGAGGCCCTCAGGCGGCGGCTCTGCGTACGCGCGCGTGGCGGCGCGGGACTCCTCTGGATTGCTGCTCCAGCGCGTCGACGCGATGGTGTCTCGAACGGCGTCCGGTCTGCCGCCGCTGGGGCTGGCGAACCTGGCGGCCCTCGGCTATGGTGGCTGCTGGGGCCGTGCAGTGGGTGCACAGGTCGCGCTGGGGCCAGGGCTGCCCACTCTGCGGCGGTCGGCCCTGGAGCGCCTCGGCGAGTTCTCTGCGCCGGAGGTCCTGTGGCTTGCCTCTGGGCTCCAGGGCGCAGGGGTGCTGGACGGCGCCGCGCTGGCCGCTGCGCGCGCGGCGCTGGATCATCTGGGCGCCGGCGCCGACGGCTCTCTGCCCACGCCGTGGGGCACTCGCCTGGAGGCGCCCCCGAGCGCGCCCGGGAGCCCAGAGGTGCTGTCCGAGCGCGACGAGGTTCAGGAGGGGAAAAAACGCACAGACACAATTTTCATCGCCGGTTCCCCGGAAGTTATATGGGAAAGTATGGGACGTGGGGGGGGGACAAAGAATCAGAAATATGGGGAAGTATGGGGAATCCTGGGACCCAGACCCACGACGTCCTGATTTTTTCATGACGTCGATCCCCAAAGGTTTCGACCCCTTCCCCGGGACCGGTTTCTCATCCTGGGTCGTTTTTTGACGGTCCCGAGACCCGGTAAGGGCCACCCGAGGCCGAAAATAGCGAAAACAAGTTGTCGTGATTTTGTCATGACTCGAGGGGGTCTGGGGATTCGTGTGTATTTGCTTGTGTGTGTGTGTGTGTGTCCCTGGGCCCCTGGAGAGGTGTTCGCCATCTATAAGCCGCCGGGGTGGTCGGCGGCGACCGGCTTTGCCAGCGGGGCGCACCCGCGGCTCGCCGACTTCCTCGCGCGCGCGGCCCGGCGCTGGCCCATCTCGGGCGACGCCGCCGAGGATCGGGACGCCCGAAATGGGTACGGAAAGAAGGGGTACAATATGCCCAACAGCAGTTCTTGCTCATTCTGAACAGGATTCGCTGTCGGCGCCGTCGCGGACGGTGTCGACCTACTCGAGACAGAAGGCCGCCTGCCCAACAGCGGCCGCTGTTGGTTCGGGACAGCATTTGCTGTTGGGCACTATGCCCATTGTTTCCCTATCGATCCACCTCGGGCGTCCAGAGAGGATCGTGGCCTGGCCCACCGCCTGGACCTCCACACCAGCGTTAAGTCGGGCCTGTCCCTCTACGGGGGGGAGCTTCCAAAAGAGTTCAAATGTGCTCCGGGGACGCTGTGTTTACAACGTTTTTTAACTTTCGGGTGGCATCTGGGGGGGTATCTATGGTTCGCCCAAAATCTGCCTGCAGGGGGACACGCCCGACCTGACACCAGCGGCGCCCTGCTCGCCGCGAAGACGTACCGGGGCTTCTGGCGCCTGCGTCTGGAGCTGTGCGCCCAGATCGGGCCGAACGAAAGGGGGGGATTGGGAAAGGAGGGGTTACGAAATCTGCTGCATGCAGCTGGCTTCGGCCCCGCCGCCGGGCCCATGCCTCCCGGCGCCTCCCGGCGCCGGGAGGCGCCGGGAAGGTCAGCCGCGTGAGCTGCTTCTCAACCCCCACCCCCCTCTGCTGCCCCCCCCCTCTCGCCCGGCCCGCCCAGAGGGTCACGAGGCAGTACGTGCTCCTCTGCCACGGCCGCCTGCCCCTCGGCGCCTGGGTCACGACCGCCGCTCCCCTCGGCCTGCGCCGCCGGCCCGCGCGGGAGGGGGGCGGCGGCGTGCGGTCGCAGGCGGAAGTGCGCGCGGACGGGCGGCCCGCGCGCACGGCCGCGCTCGCGGTGGCGCACCTGCGGGGGCCGCGCGGCTGCGGCGCCGGCGCGGAGGACTACAGCCTGGTGCTGGCGCGCCCTGCGACGGGCAGGACACACCAGTTCGGCGGCAGCTCCCGGGAGGTCGAGCTATCTGGCTGTGCCCTGGCCCCGGCATCCAGGTCCATCCGGCTTCATCCCGCGCATATTCCGGCCGAGACCCGCTCATAAGTCCCGCTGAGTCCGCGGTCTAGTGACTAGACCGCGGACTAAGTACGGCGTAGCAGCACCCCAGTGGGTTCAAGCCTCCCTTATCTTTCCGACGAGGACCTGCCAGCAGTTGCCCCCTAACACAAGCTACGTTGCCATCTGTCCCACCTGGGGCATCCCCTGGCAGCCGATGCGGCGTACGGCGCGGGCCCGGCGGGCAGCTGGTGCCCGCGCACCTTCCTGCACTGCGCCGCCCTCGGCTTCCTGGGCCCAGACGGCCGCGGCGGCCGCTGCAGGGTCCTCGCGCCGCTGCCCGCGGACCTGCGCCTGGCGCTGGCGCGGTTGGCGCCAGCCGACGATACGTCTGGGAAGGCATCACCGTCCACCAAACTACCCCAGCCCAACCCGAAGGCCCCAATTGGCCCTTCATTCGCAGGGGGGGGGCGTCGGGGAACATTGAAAGAACACGTGTGGAGCTCGTACCTCCCCCAAAGAAAATTTAGGTCTTCGGGTTGGGTTGGGTTGGGGTGGTCTGGTGGGTAGTCAAGGCAGTCGCAGACCTTCTTCGACGCAAGATGCCGCCACAGGCTGCACGCCGTGTGGGCATCGTGTGACGCATTCGCGGTCACGCCACCCGTGGGCGGCCGTGCTGGGCGTGGGCGAGTTCTATGAAAGTGGTGCTGATTGTTCTGCGCTGCTAGTTATCTGCGCGCGCAGCAAGCAGACCCAAGCCAGCTCCACGCACGTCCAGCGCAGTGGATGTGACAACGGGATGCAACGGTGAGCTTGGAGCGTTTAGGCGTGGAATGCTTCTCTGCGCGAGTGTGCTGGTCATACTGATGTCTGACTGCACGCGCAGCTGGGCGTACTGGTGTCATACAGGGAGGTCTGCACCACAGCCAGAGGTCGAACTCGCCCTTCGACACATAGCGACGTTCCAGATTTAAAGCGATTATTCATGAATTTCGCAGCGCTTGTTCACGTTCATGTCCACCCGCCCTAGTTTTCACCAGAGGCGTCCCTTTTGATATCGTGTTCATTAGTTGTAGCCGTCAGTGGTGTCGGGTTGGTCGGATGATATTCCAAGTGCTCATGTCCACATTCGAGATGTCGAACATGCCCGCGGGTGATATTGAGTCAAGGCTATGATGTGTAATCGCAACCTCTGTTGCGTGGCCTCTGTACACCGGCCAGTTCCAGTGTTGATTTGACTAATCCGTGCATGTGTGTCTAGGTGCGTGGTTGCGCGCGTTCCCTTCTCTGACTTTGGACGCCCTGTCGCTGCGTGTGGGGCCGCGACGCCAAACAGCTGTGTGTGTGTGTGCGGCGCACGCCTTAATGCCTCTAGCTGCAGACTGGTTTGGAGATACATGTCTTTTGGATAGGTTTAGTCTAGATTGAGCGTGGATTGTTAAGTCCAAGTGCGCGGACGCTACGCAGGAAACTTGATTGTCGAAGAGGGAGTTTGTCAAGAAAGTGTGTGTGTGTGTGTGATAAGCCCGCTTTGCCACATGAGTCTGCTCATGAGCGTGGGTGCTGAACCGTCCAAGTGGTGTCTCTGATCTGGTGGCCGCCCGTGGTGCCTCTGCAGATCCTCGCGGTCGTCTACGCCATTCGGTCGCGGTGCGGACGCAGACGCACGCGTGCCCACTCGCATTCAAGAAGAGTACGTGTGTGTGTGTGTCTGTGTGTGTGTGTTCGGCATTCCTCCGCACCAGTGTGCAATCTGCGCTGCTGACCAGCGCAAGTCCCTGGACCTCCGGACCGCTTGACCTCTTCCCTGGGAGCGTTTTTGTTTCATCCAGGAGCCCGGAAGCAGCCCCAGACACCGAAAATGTCGAGTGGATCCCGCTTATGTTTCAAGACGGTGGGTGCTTGGGTCGTCAATGGCTCCAAAGGCCGGCGAGTTGAAACAGCTCGAGTCGACGGATCTCTAGGTAAGGTTGTTGTTTTTCAAGATCCAAGCGGACCTCCTGCTCCGCCTCTTTCACCTCTCTGGATCGATCCAAGTCGAGTCGAACGCCGAGCTGGGGTTAGAAAGCCTTGGTTCGCTAGGGACGGGTTTCCCCCCTGAAGGACGAAACGCCTTCCAAAACCCTCCCGAAATCCTCCGAAAAGCATCCCAGAACCCTTCCAGGAAGGTTTTCGGAGGGGATCGCGAGGGTTTCGGTTGTTTGGGAAGGAGGCCAGTCCCTAGCGAACCCTGGACTTTCTAAAGCTTGGGGTTGATACCTCAGCTCAGGTGATGTCTCAGACGTCGGTTCAAGGTGCGCTGACGCGCAACGCGCTCGGACGAGCGTCTGGAGAAGGCGGGGGGGGGAGAAGGGAGTGAGGCGCCTTGGCTGGTGGCAAGTGCCGTGGAGGTTCCTTGCCCGTCCTCTGTGTTTGGCACCGTTCGGTCTGGAGAGCACAAGACCGAGGGGGCCTGGTCAAGCAGGTGAGTGCGTGTTGGGCTCGATGCAGGCGACGTCTCGACGGATCGGGACCTGGACAGGGTGGAGCGACT